ATTTCCAGGACCGATTCAGATAATCGCCACTGGCGTTGGCCGTGAGCGGAAATGGAACATACATCTGCCATCCTCACCGATGATCAGCATGTTCATAGTGATGCTGAGGATAATGGTGAATGTGTAGGGTTTAGTCATTCGCGCTTTACAGATCGCTATTAATGAAGCGGTATGTTTTAAGCAAGAAAACTCTGGACTGGTTTCGACCTTCTGGGTCTCATCAGCAGAATCTGGCTTTTTCGAAATATTTTTTTTGCTGGATACCCTGATGTTGTTTGTGGCAAGAACACCAACCATTATAAAAGCGGAATCAGTTAAAACAAAGTGACCCATTTATAGACACCCTAATAAATAAGGATAAATTACAGTACTGTATATATAGAGAGAAAACACATCTTATTTCAAAGCCTCCTCTCTACACGAGTCCCACCATCTATTCAATCGCTTAACTCTCTCCTCTGTAAGATGTGATCCCATGGCTTTCACAAGCACAGTATCCAAATAGGTTGCCGAGAAAAGCATATCATGCGTCCACTAGAAATCGGTGGGGTATCTTCAAATGGATCGCACTCAGCACAACAACAACACACAAACGCATTTTGGTCTTTAGGTCGCCTGGCTATAAAATCTGAAACGGTCAAACAACGTTTTCAATAATAAACCCCCACCACCACCACACAATCTCTTCGGGTTATCTACAACCGTGCATTAGCACATGTAGTCGTCTATATAGACAGTATATAAACACCCAATGATAGTGATGCGAACCCGACAACCAGAGTCCGATTCAGTGGCGAGTGATGGCCTCAACCAACTCCCCTTCCCCCTCCCCTTCCGTTTATTGTTGTTAACGCGCGTGGTGAAGTATGGTCACAAACAAACAATAAAACAATCCACGTGACTGCCACAGGCATGCAAAAGGTGTGTTTACTACTCCTGCTGCTACTACGACAGCAGTGTGTTCGACTTGGTAGGCGTACATTTGGAACCCCGTGTCAAAAAAAAAACACGGTTCGTTTGTATTGTAAGGCTGCTGTGGACGGGGAAGCTCCACCAGACGCCACGCCGTTTGTTGAGTTCGCAAACCCCCGTCCCCCCCATCGCAATCGCGTTATTTATAATGAATCCTCCACCGAACAAGTATCTGAGACGGTAACGCATCCCACAGGCGCGCCCAGCTGTGCCCTGGAAGATGTAAAAAAAGAAACAAAATAGATCCTCGTGCCCGCGACATTGCTTACAAAAAGGACAGACTAAAGAAGAGGTCGACGACGATACAAAAAAAACATCTTGCGGGGAACTTCCGCGAATTTCTTATTGCTTATCAAAAAGCACGCACGGCCGCTTCTGTTGATTCACAGGAGCCGTTATCTCCATCCCAGGCCGCACGCGGACCGTGTAAATCCACCTCGCCCTCACCACCCGCCTGGCCAAGAGCGAGCGGGCCGGTAGTTCCTGCTTGAGTGTGAAATTAGAACGAGGGAAGGGGGGGGGGGGGGATGAAGGGAAAAAAAACAACGTTTGGAAACGCCGGCGATTAAAAGAACTGGACGCGAGGGAGACGGAGCGATGGATTTGGAATGAAAATAGTGGAGGGGCTTTGTTTTCTTTGCCGTGTGCCTTAGGTTGGTTGGATCACTAAAATGACATCGCAGGATCGTCCAGGGTATCGGCGGCTTTTTGAGAGGGCCTTCATCCAGCAGTGGATTGACCCCCTGGCTGATGATTACTACTCTATGTGGGGATATATATTTATTGGATCCATCTGTGCGGAGCTTCCAAAGTTATCCTCGAATGCGCGCTGGAATTTCTCCGGGCACTGCTCATTTTGTGGCGCTGTGGCCAACACGTGCCAATTGTAGCAGGACCCTCCTTAGAAAGCTCTTGAGACTCCAGTTTCGTGAATAAACGCAGGTCATCATTGGTATGCCGTATTGAAACCCCCCCCCCCCCCGTATAACATTGAATAGACTGTTGGGGCAAGTGCTTAGAGTGGGCATCTATCAAGGGCGGCACGAAGTGGCGTGGCTTGCAACACGCTCTCTCTCTCCCCGCAGCACTGATGTTTACACGCCGTTCAAGGCATACTCATTTAAGGCTGAGCTAACCCAGGGGCAAAGCTCAGTTAGTGAGCACCTATTAAGGCCATCGCGACGCAACGAGTAAGGTAGCGTGGCCAGCCACACGCACGGCCGCATTTGTGTCCCCAGCGTTGGCGTTGACACACCGCCCCAGGTAGAGTACTCACTTTGAGGCTGAGTTGACCTCGGGGAGGCCCCCCCCCCCCACCCCCCCACATAGACACACACGTGACGCGCAAATCCACTGTTACGCGCGGAGCTCTTGAGCAGATGGTTTGCATCGGCTCGTCGCTCTAAACGTATATAAACAAATGGCCAATGTGGTGTTAGTTAATTGATTCTAGTGCGACGACACCGAACCGCGTTGACCAGCGTGGTGAAGTATGGCGCAAGAAAACCCTCCACGACCCAGAACGGCATGGCGATCGAGGTCTTCATCCAGCAGTGGATTGACTGAAAGAGCTGCACGCATTCTCGGGGTATATCCGCTCCAATCGCTCCCGCTATTCTCACTCCGAGCTCCCGTTCAATCTTGGCTTTATATTCACGGAACATTCATCACGGCACGGGACTTAGGGCTACTAACGGGCAGCGAACTCTAAGGCATTCGATCGCATGCAATTAACATCACGAGATGCCTCGCACAGTCTACCGCAAGCGTTCTGGTAGACACGGCAATGACGCGGTCGCAGACAGAGGGGAGCACATTTGGATTGGAGGACATACATAGCAGGGGTAAATGACATCATTCAAAATGTAAAGAACAGCGAGTGTGGCTTGGGCACGACGTGCCGCTCTAAGGTATGATGATTGTGATGATGATGATGATAACGGATGGGCGAGAGTAATAATGGAATGGCAGCCAAGGGATGGAACGCGTCAACGAGAGGACGTCAACGAAGGAGATGGATATCGATGTACGGATGAATGGATATCGATGGGTGTCGCTTTAAATCACGTCTACGTGCAGGCGATCGGTGGATTATATCATTCACGCGGCAGGATCGCGAGAGGCGGCGGCGGCGTGCGACTCGGGGACCCGAATGTCACTCGGGGAACGAAACTCGCGCCGCCGGCTTCGCGGTCGAAGCGGCGGGCGCGCTAACCGCCGCGCCACCGCTCCATGCAGAGAAGTGCATAACATGACAATAATAGTATGAATAATTGAAACAAACACGTGATATATTATTCATGTCACCGCTCCCGAGGAAAGACGCACGGCGTCTCCAGACGGATACTATGACGTTCCCGTCTTCGTGTTCTCGGTGGTATCCTTGCCAATGAACGCGTGCACGCGTACTCTCGCTTTAAAGAAACTAAACTAAAACATGCCGCGCGCCCTGTGCTTTGCAAGGATAAAGAATGCCCGTCGGCCTCATTATTTCGACGACAGATTATGTTAAGCATCCAACGCTTCGTGCACAATCGCGCTGGATTCACGCGGACACGGGGGTGGGGGGGGGGGGGACAGAGGCACAACACAAGCTAGCGCAGAGAGTGACACAGCGAGTAACACAGCGAGTAACACAGCGAGTGACACAAAGACTCAGGTCCTACATTATATCCTTAGCAGACTGTTGGGGTCAAGTGCTGTTTGCGAGCACATTTGAAGGCCGGAACGGTACATGAGCGGGTGGGTGACCAAGCAACCACGCCCGACCGCCTTTGTCTCCTCAGTGGCGATGTTTACACACCGCACCAGGTACTCATTTGAGGCGAAGGTGTCTTGGGGGAGGCCCAAGACCGGTTTAGATAATCGTCACCGGTGTTGGCCGTGAGCGGGAATCGAACCAGGAAACCAGGTTCATAGCGCAACGCGCTTACCGCTACACCACCGCTCCACGCAACAGACAAAGACGAAGATCCCCCTATAGCCTTGACAGACCGTTGGGGCAAGTGCTGTTATCGAGTACCTATGAAGGCCGGCACGGTACACGAAGGGGTGGGTGGCCAGCACCACGCCCGGCCGCCTTTGTCTCCCCAGTAGCGATGTTTACACATCGCACCAGGTACTCATTTGAAGCTGAGTCGACCTAGGGGGAGGCCGCGGACCGGTTCAGATAATCGTCACTCGGGTCGCCGGGTTTGGAGCACAGCGTAGCGCGCTAAACGCTACACGTCCGCTCCCCAGAGCGACACGCACACGCGTACACACTTTAGCACAGAAAGACAGAGGGACACACACAAGCGAGCACAATGAGAGACAGACAGACAGACACGCGCATAGACAAACGCGTGCGCTTAGACACAGAGAGAGAGAGAGAGAGACGCGTGCGCTCAGAGAGAGACAGTGACACGCACCCAGCTACACGCGCACAGGCACACACAGAGAGAGACAGTGACATGCACCCAGCTACGCCCGCACGGGCACACAGAGAGAGACAGTGACATGCACCCAGCTACACGCGCACGGGCACACACAGAGAGACACTTATACGTAGAGAGATGCGAGCGCGCGCATGTAGAGAGCAAGAGAGAGAGAAGGGAGATCGCGAGATACATGTGTACAGAGATAGATCGAGAGGCACAGAGAGACACACAGAGGGACAGCGAGATCAACGCCCAGAGAGAGACACACACGTGCACAGACACACATGCACACATAATCACGAAGGGAGACACACACACACCCGCGCGCAAAGATAGAGACACCCATCCAAAAACGAGTACACAGAGAGACACAAGCACGCGCACAGAGAGACGCAGAGAGAGAGCGAGACGTGCGCACAGAGACAGACAGACACACACGCAGAGCGAGAGAGACAGATACACACACGCACAAAGAGACGAGACAGAGTGAGACAAGCAGATACATACGTGCACAGAGACACACGCACGCACAGAGAGACGCACACGCTACCCTCCTTACGCCGGCTGGCTGTATGAATGCGAGCGCTACCACGATTCAGCTTTACTCACCGCAGCGCGCGCAGATCCGATCCTTGGCCATCCATCCCCTTCCTCACGCGTAAATCCAGAGCCGGGACTCCAAATCGGCTTTACGCAGATACGGACGACGGCGCCGCGCAGCACGAACTATGACCCCCCCCCACCACCAACCCACCAACCGCACACGTACACACACACACACGTGTATGTACGTACGTGTGTGTGTGTGTGCGTGCCGGTAGAGAAATGTTCTCACGATATATTTAGTGTCCGATGCGCGGACACATCTGACAGTCAACCCGCAGGAGGATGTCCGTGCGCATTTTGACAGCGGCAGCGGCGGTGGTAGCAGCGGTGGCTCCGGGTGGGTCTCGTGTCGCCGCGATCTGCGGACGGGGCTGGAGGGGTTTGGCTTTAGGGGAGGGTGGAGGGGGGGGGGTGGTAGGGGGGGGGTTGGAGCTGGGATTGTGGCAATGGTCTCGGCTAAGGATGGCGTGGCCGGTAGGAGAGCCAGCGAGAGCCAGAGAGAGAGAGAGCGAGCGAGCGAGAGAGCGTGGGGGCACGTAGCTTACGCTCCGCGCACAATAGCGGACGGCGTTGGGCACATCCACTTAACACTCGTTCGCGAATTTATACGCGGCCTGGAAACGAGGGAATGTGTGCGCATTAAATGCATGGGACTGCGTGCGCGCGCGCGCGCGCGTCTATAGCGGTCAGCGCGCTGCGCTACGAACCCGGGGAGCCAAGTTCGATTCCCGCTCACGGCCACCACCAATGATGGCGAGTATCTGAACCGGTCCTGGGCCTCTCCTAGGTCGTCTCAGCTTCAAATGAGTACCTGGTGCGCTACGTAAACATCGCCACTGGGGAGACAAAGGCGGCCAGGCTTGCTTGCTGGCCACCCGCCTCCTCGTGTACCGTGCCGGCCTTTATAGGTGCTCGCTAACAGTCCTTGCCCCAACAGTCTATTACAGGCTATACGGGGGATCTTTGTCTGTGTCTCTGTGGCGTGTGCCCCACCTCTCAGTCTCTCCCTTTTCCCTCGCATCAATGCGCAACAAACAAGCCGTCGCTTCGCCCCCACGACCACCATCCCTTCACCTCTCGGCCCCTCTGATCAACACGCGCGCACGTTCGTTCGGCAAGTGGCTGTAGAGACGGCATCATGGGCTGACTGTCGCGGGACGAAGAAGACTGCTGTGGGTTAGCGGTAGGATTTTTGAAGAGGAAGCTATACAGAGGAGGATCACAGGGGTGATATTCAGTGAGCAATTTCATCCGGAGAAGTCCAGAACACTGTTCCAGGATTTATTTTGAACCCTGCCACATCCATATTGCGATATTCTGTCCCGTCTAATATTAATAAATCTGTTCGTCGGGATGACAGGAATGTTGAGCACAACATAACATAAAATTAGCACGGATAGGATTACCGTACCGTGGGTTCTCCAGTGGGAGTGCTTGCGCCGATGATCGCTGCTCTAAGCCAGCCGAGAAGCGTTCCGGAAAATATAAAGTGAGAAAATACTCCCTGGCTATACGCCGCTCGAAGGGATGGTGGCCGATGATGATGATATATATAATAACGGACTGCCAGCAGCCCTGGGTGTAACGTTTCCGAGAATGCGTGCACCGGGAGAAACGGAGCGATATGATGAAATCAGTTAGCGTGCAGGTGCCAAGGGGAATGGCTTCCTGGCATACTCTCTGTTGATCTGTGTGCCTGTGTGTGTTTCTCTCTCTGTGTGTCTCTGTGTTATCTCTCTCTCTCTTCTTATGTGTCTGTCTGTGTGTCTCCGTGTCTGTGTTTTGTCTCTCTCTCAAATTTCGCAATCTTTGGAAGAACGTCAATCAACCAGGTAGGGTGTTGACTGTTATGTTTGCCGACTCTCTGTGTTGTATTGCATTGTATTTCTAAGTTTACTAGGCTTGTTTTCTCTTTCATTTGTACCCGATGATGATTGCTTGTGTTGCAATCGAAAAGTTGTATGCTATTATTTAATTATTCTTTTCTTTCTACGTAACTTTACCGAACGAACCAAAGAGTCATTCCAGCAGTCACGAAAGCTCCAAATCAAGTTTTTACCTAGCATACGTTGTGAAAAATGGAGGCGGTTTTGAGAAGGCCCTCACCTAGCAGTGCATTGGCCATGGCTGATCTCGATGTGTTTGGCGGCAGAGTTTGAAGTTTATGCATGTAGAACTTCCTTCGCACCGTACGGAGCTGTAGCTGTCGAGATGGCACACGGGTGATTAGCCGTGCCACATCGCGCTGCGCGAGTGCTGGAGAAGAGCGAGGAGAGAGCCAGAGGCTCGAGCCACTGGGACGAAGCGATAGCGGTCGTGTTGGCAGTGGCTCCATCAAAGCGACAGTCATCGGGGAAGTAGGCGCGGTGTGTGTCTGTGTGTGTCTCCATCCCTAGACACACTGGGAGCGGTGGTGTAGCGGTTAGTGCACTACGAACCTGGCGACCCGGTGTTCGATTCCCGCTCGCGGCCAACACCGGCGACGATTATCTGAACCGGTCCTGGACCACCCCTAGCTAGGTCGACTCAGCCTCAAATGTGTACCTGGTGCAGTGTATAAACATCGCCACTAGGCCTTCATCCAGGTGCTCGCTAACAGCACCTGCCCCAACAGTCTAATGTTACAGGCTACACGGGTGATCTTCATCCCTGGCCGCAACGCGTGCAACGCACGGGGCTGTCCCATCGCTGCGTACCCCCCCCTCCCGCCGTTCTCTCTCTCTCTTTTTTACGATCAGAGGAGACAAGAAGATGCTCGGTGTAGGCGGCACTTTGCTCCGTTCATCATTTCGGGTTTTTTTGTTTTTTTATGCTTTGCTTTATGTAACCCCCCCCCCCCTTTTAAATGAAAGACCCAACACATTTTTTTTGCTCTCCTTACCCCTTCCCTCTCTCTCTACCCCCCTCTCTGCCCCCTCTCTCTCTGCCCCCTCTCTTCCTACTCCATTTGGCTCTCTCTCGCTCTCTCACGTCGTCTCTCTCTCACGTCGTCTCTCGCTCTCTCTCACGTCTCCCTCTCTCACGTCTCTCTCTCACGTCGTCTCTCTCTCTCTCTCTCACGTCGTCTCTCGCTCTCTTTCTCACGTCGTCTCTCTCTCTCTCACGTCGTCTCTCGCTCTCTCACGTCGTCTCTCTCTCACGTCGTCTCTCGCTCTCTCTCACGTCTCTCTCACGTCGTCTCTCTCTCACGTCGTCTCTCGCTCTCTCTCACGTCTCTCTCTCTCACGTCGTCTCTCTCACGTCGTCTCTCGCTCTCTCTCACGTCGTCTCTCTCTCACGTCGTCTCTCGCTCTCTCTCACGTCTCTCTCTCTCACGTCGTCTCTCTCTCTCACGTCGTCTCTCGCTCTCTCTCACGTCTCTCTCTCTCTCACGTCTCTCTCTCACGTCTCTCTCTTTTTTTAGACAAATATTTATTGGCAACCTTTAAAAAAATTCTACAGATACACAGTAATGGGTAAAGGAATAGGAGATGCAACACAAGCTTGATGGGGAGGAAAAGAAACTGAAAGATGTAATCAAACCACGTACAAAGTTTCAATTTACCTGAAGTTGTTATAAAAATACACGGAGCCTGTGTACAAATGCTGCTGCGCTGGAAAAAAATGGTATAAGATCTTATCATGAATCCCCTTCAATCCAGGCAACTTTACCATGATGCACAAGGGGAGAAAAACTAATTTCCGAGACAAAACGCGACAAGAAGCAAGCAATTTGTGTACAACTTCAACTATTCTATGAAATACACGTGGCTAAAATCTAAAAATCTACTTTTTTTGTATCCATGGACCCAAGGTGTGCGTGCGGGTGCAATGCTGCCAAGGCTTAGGCGCGCTCGCCACGGATGCGTCGTGCCAGCTGGATGTCCTTGGGCACGATGGTGACACGCTTGGCGTGAATCGCACACACGTTGGTGTCCTCAAAGAGCCCCACCAGGTAGGCCTCGCTTGCCTCCTTGCAAGGCGCCAATGGCAGCACTCTGGAAGCGCAGATCGGTCTTAAAGTGCTGCGCGATCTCACGAACCAGGCGCTGGACTGGCAGCTTGCGGATCAACAGCTCCGTCGACGTCTGGTAACGACGGCTCTCACGCAGCGCCACCGTGCCAGGTCGGTAACGGTGAGGCTTCTTTACACCGCCGGTGGACGGCGCACTCTTGCGAGCCACCTTGGTGGCCAGCTGTTTGCGTGGGGCCTCTCTCACGTCGTCTCTCTCTCTCTCACGTCTCTCTCTCTCACGTCTCTCTCTCTCTCACGTCGTCTCTCTCTCTCTCGTCTCTCTCTCTCTCACGTCTCTCTCTCACGTCTCTCTCTCTCACGTCTCTCTCTCACGTCGTCTCTCTCTCTCTCACGTCTCTCTCTCTCTCTCACGTCTCTCTCTCTCTCATGTCTCTCTCTCTCTCACGTCGTCTCTCTCACGTCTCTCTCTCTCTCTCGTCTCTCTCTCTCTCACGTCTCTCTCTCACGTCTCTCTCTCTCACGTCTCTCTCTCTCACGTCTCTCTCTTTCACGTCGTCTCTCTTTCACGTCGTCTCTCTCTCTCACATCGTCTCTCTCTCACGTCGTCTCTCTCGACACAAACCTGTGAGATCTTTAGCGGTATAGTCCCACGGGCAGCTGTGCGTACGACGCCACGTGTCATTTCTTTGGGGCGGTGGGGGGGGTTTCGTTTGCGGTCGTGTCGCCTTCGCGGTTTTTAAGTGCGTGCCCACACAACACAAATATATAGCTCGCGTCTGCGCTGCGACGGACGCAAGAGCGGCAGAGTCGCCCTTTGTCTCTCGTGGCACGGGAACTGGACGGGACGCACGAACGCACGAACGCGCGCACACTTCGGCAGTCATCATTTACGCATAAGGTTGTAATGTCATCACCGTGGTCATCATCATCGTCGTCGTCGTCATCATCATCGTGGATTGATCTATGCGTCGCTGGGAATATATACGGGTGCAGCATTGTAGTAAAATACATCAACATCGATGCATTAAGGGCTCGTGTATAAATGTGTATTGTCACGTTGCAGTGAAAGACAAAGTCACCATAATCACTCAATAATCGATGGGTCGTTGGTTATAAGGGTGTAGTTTTGGAGTGAAATACATTATCATCAATCTATGCGTTGTTGGCTGAAGGGTGCAACTTTGGAGCGAGACACCATAACCATCATCACCTCCTTGCCGACTGTTGCATGCGGCGCTATAGCAGGTGCAACTTTGGAGCGAGACACCATAAACATCATCACCTCCTTGCCGACTGTTGCATGCGGCGCTATAGCAGGTACCACCCGTGCTTCTACTGTACGCGTAGCAACATGCGATTACTGCAAATCATCGTCAGCCATGGCCAATCCAATGCTGAATGAAGTCTTGCCCAAATCGTCTCCTTCTC